GCAACCGTGTACTCACGGGTCATATTTCTGACATTTTTGAGTCGCAATAAGTCGATTAACGGAGGCTTATCAAAAATGCCAAACGAGAAAGTATTTTAACTGCAAGGATGCAAATGGACAAATCTCAAGCTGTAGACAGAGTTCGCAAAGTATACTTTTTTTTGGTTCCTGTGGAATTGGCAGATCAGGAGGTCAAGCTACATGGTTTTCCACACGCCATTATCAGCCTACAATCCTTCGGGATATGGTACTGCACGATTTTCCTTGACCCAAACTTTCTCCTGCTCACTTCCGAACTTCGGCGGAACCAATCCATTGACCTTCCACAAACGACGGTCCGTTTCATCCACGTGGAACTCCCAATCGTATCCCTTGTCAGCAACGTGAGGCTTCAAAGCCTGGTCAATTCGCCTGGCTGTTTTGTCCATCGCGGTGTCGTCGTCTGGCAGGTTGACGGCAATGTGCTCGATGACGAAACGAATGAACGGCTTGTCCGTTTTCTGCTCCCCGCCTATCCACATATCCTGCGGACCCGTTTTGATGAAGTTGACGACGACGTAAAAAGGAGGAAGGCCTATGTCCGTATAGATCTTGGTGATGTCTTGAGTGAGAGCCTTCCTCGCCGCCATATCCTGGAAATGGCCTTCGGGGTAGAACACGAGCCAGAGAGGCATTGTAGAGTGTGTAGTAGGTTGTTATGGTAAAATGGTAAGAACGGAGGTTGCGAGTTCAGTAAGTCGAGATGGATGCTTGGAAATCAATAGCTGATGCGATGGACGCCACAATATAAACAATCTCCATTCCCCCGTATCAATTGACAAGCAGTCTTGATTCTGATCCCCGCATCTGCAGATCCAATCTAAGACTGTGATCCAGAAGAAATTCGGGCAAAGGGAAGATCCCACTAAAAGGTGGACCTCGCAGCCAGCCTGGAGATCAAGAAAGGCTGGTGAACTAAAAGCGTTTCACGGTTTGTGTGATCATCGGACTGAACCAAACAGGAGTCGATTTTGCCCATCGGGAAAAGACCGGAGCAGTAATGTTCCGAATTTTGTAAAGTTACGGCCTTTGTGAAGTTACGGCCGTATGAGATTGCCCGCACGTGCTCCGAAGCTAGTTACGTAAGCTTTGACGCAGACATCCGGAGGGTCGTAAGGGCGGAATCTGTGAAGCATTGTGATAGGATCTACCTGAGGTTACACTAAAGTATGGATTACAAAGTAGCCTACATGTATGAGTAACCACGATAGCTTGAGGGTAGTCTATAATATAAAGCATCCTAATGGCTCGATCCGCCTCTTCAACCACCTCAAATTCATTACCCTCTTCCACAAACGTTTTTTCTCTGAATCCGGAGGATATTCTTGCGATCATGTCCACCCAACCAGCTTCTTTCCAAACGCTGGACCAAACCACCCTGCGTGGCTTGTTCTATACCCCGAAAAACTACTCCGGGCAAAAGTTGCCATGCGTAGTCATTTCACATGGCTTCTCGGCCACGAAAGATCAGGGCCTGACAGCGGTCGCTGAATATCTTGTGGCGAACCTTCCCATCACCGCTTTGGTTTTCGACAATCGTGGATTTGGAGAGAGCGATGCTGGAGTAGGCAGACCTAGACTGGAAGTTGACGCACCGATACAAATCAGTGATATTTCCGACGCCATTACTTACGCTCAGACCCGACCTGAGGTGAATCCTACCAAGATCGGGATATGGGGCTCGTCGTTCAGCGGTGGTAATGTGCTTTGGGTTGCTGCGGTGGACCGAAGAGTGAAGGCCGTCGTTTCGCAGGCGCCGTTGGTGGAGGGATACTCTGCTTTTGCCAATTTGATCCGGTCAGATGACATCGCAGATTGGGAAGCAGATTTCCAGAAAGGTCTGTGTCGACCCAATCCTCTAACACAGCTATTGAGTTTTGACTAATTTGATTATTCTAGATCGAATTGATCGTGCTGCTGGCAAACCACCTATGATGATTCCTGTTGTCGATCCAAATCGATTAAACCGATCGGCCATGACTACAAAAGATAGTAACGCGTCCATGGGAGGGCTTGAGGGTGTCGTTCCTCACTTCAAAAACCAAGTAACCTTGAGGAGGTTCGTTACGCAAAAATCAACCTGGCAATGCCAGCGAAAATTCATCCAACTAACTCGTGGTCAGCATGGAGAATCTTAGAGCGCATCCTGGAGCGGCCTGGATTCACCACATTTCTCCGACACCATTGCTCATGACTGTTGCAGACAACGATGTTGTGACGCCCACTGCGACTACATTGGAAGCATACAGTCGTGCACTCGAGCCAAAGGAGCTGCATTTGTTCCGCGGTGGTCATTACGAAGCATACGCCACGCAACCCAACTTCGAGGAATGCGTCAAGCGACAGGCTGATTTCTTCAAGAGAAAGCTTTGCTCTTGACCATGCATTGGGTATAATATGAAGCTTTTGGCTATCGGATTGGAGACAGACGTAGATTTACCGGATTGCTCGCGCAATCCTTACAAAGACAAACATTTCACTGCTTACAATATGTCACTATACCCTATGCATCCCGAGAAAGATAGTTCTCTGAGTAATTCGCTTTCCCGCAACCTTGTACGTCGAATGGAGCTGCGGCGATCTTGCTCGAAGTCGGCAGCAGAGCAGAAGGCGCTTCCCGACAACTCAGCAGGCGATAGTGCAGGACTAAAGTCTGAGCCAGGTGTAGCAGCGTTGCTTAAAGACAGCAGCAGAGCAGAAGGTGCTTTCGGACGACTTGGTAGGCGATGGTGCAGGACTGAAGTCTGAGCCAGGTGTGGCAGCGTTGTTCAACGAGGCCCAGCGACTTCGCGTCGACAGAAACCACGTATCCGTCTTCCATGAACTCGCTGAAGGCGAGCAGGACATCTCGAAACATGCTTTATACCCTAAGAAACATCCGCGTCGGCGGCAGCAGCAGCCTCCTCCCTGGCTCTTCGTCGGCGCTCTTCGACGTCCAGCATGAGCTGCACGTGAATCCTCCTACCCCCAACCAAGCTCCATGCACCTTTAGTCTTCAAGCGCTTTTGTGTCATTTGTGTCATCTCAAGCTCCGCCTGAAGTTTCATGAGCTTCTCCTCAGGTGTTTTGAATTCTTCGTCAAACCCGAAATCTAGGAAGTTGAGGCGATCTTCAATTTCTTCGACACCCCGCTTCCGCCTGGCGACGCGTTGGGGCGCAATATCAGCATTGGAGCTATTAGCCTCTCACCTCCTTGGAGGTTGAGGGCGCTCCTGTGTCGGCCGATCACGCGCCTCTCTACGAGGACTTATATGGCCGGTGCTTAGATAGGGCGGGCGGGACGGGTTATGTAGGCTGGCCTGGGCATTGGCTGGTGTACTAGGTCCACGCTTTGGTGATACCGCTGGGCTTCTGCTTACTCTTGTACGTCCACTAACTTGTTGTTGTTTGAATTGATCTTGTGGCATGGGGACTCGTGGTCTTATCCTCTCTAGCAGGGAATGGAAAGGTGGATTTGGTAGCCCGTTAATCCTTCTGTCTAGGCTAGCGCCGTGCAGTCCTACGGCTGGCATCTTGCTGATGGCGTTGCTAGGCCTAAGAAAGGAAGCTGAAGGCACAGGAGTACGTTGGTGAATGTTCTTGATATTAGACGACTTATGAGATGCTGCCGGAATGCTATTGATTGGCTCTTCATCGTTATTTAAGAGATGACGTCCTGATCTTATCGCTCGCAACATATCTGGAACGTAATCTGGAGTCTTTTCTCCGCTCGAATCTCTGCTAGTCTTTTTATTTTGAACGTCTCCGTCTGGGGAGAAGCCATTTCTAATGTTGTACAGTCTATGAGCTTCTACTAGAGCGTGATGTGCGTCGTGCAAATCGCCTGGGCGGACGACTCTGATGCTATCGCCCTGGTTCTTATTCTTGGGCCGTCTAATACCTCTACGTTTGCTTCTTCTATTCTTGATGGCGGTCACGATCTCCCGTTGTATCTCCTTGACATTGATAGCGACCTTGGTTATCGCGCTTAAGGCTGGGATATAATGATGGAACTAGCGCTGTAGGTCCTCTTCGTCCGGAGGCCTGATCTTGTCTGGTAGGATATTGATAGGCTTAGTACCCTAGGTTGTCTTGATATGCTCTAGCAACTCTTCCTTGTACGCGCTAAGTAACACATTATCTTGTTGGTACCTGGCTCTAACGAACTTCTCTTGCTGAATCTGCGCAAGTACTGGTTGTACGTCTTTTGGTGTTATCTAATGTCGCGGGTCTATTGCGCTTCCTAACCGAACTTCTCTATTGTGTGAGATCTCTTCGAAGATGTTGTCACAATCGACCCTGTAGCGCGATATCTCCAATACAGTGCGGACGATCGATCGCGCCGAAGCGGAATCATCATCCCACCTCATTGGCCATAGATGCTGCGGAAAGATCTGAGTCTCGTCTTCCATATGCCAGTTCAGCGCGATCTCCCGTAGTTGTTCCAGCATGAGCGGGTGATCTTCATGGTCCGGTGACGCCATCTCGAGTTGAAGGAAATCGAACGGTTATCGCGACGGCGCGGTCGGAGTGATCAACGAGTTCAGCGGTGGTAGCGGTACTACGCAGATATGAGCAACCACTCCGTTGAGCGATAGTGGGGCAGATTAACATACCTGATATTTGAGACGAGGTGGCGACGCGGGAGTCGGCAATATCTACCGATATCGCTACCCTCCACGAGCGCAAGAGTATGATCGCAGAGGCCGTGAAAAGGTCTATACGAATGTACGAAGTAGATGCGTCGGTGTCTTCCCTTAGCGGGCTCAAGATTGCGACAATAGTTGCGCGTCAACAATGCGGGGTACGACGAACAAAGCTTTGCGCGCGTGCAAAGTGAAAGGAGACTTTGAACAAAAGATAATGACCTTTCATTGAAGGAAACCCCGACTAGACCTAATCGGTCCAGAGATACCAAAAGCGCAGCCATTTCCATCATGGCACTATTCTAGAACGGCTTCGCGCTTCATACATCGATCTATCTACTGACTCTCAGCCTCGACTTGAGCACTCTCGGCCGCAGCATCTTGTCTCATCTTCAACAGCTTCAGCCGGCGAGCCGCATAGAAGGCTCTACCACTCGCTATAAGCGAGATGTCGGAGTTTTTGTACCCACCAGGGAAGCGATCTCGTAGTTGGTATCGTTTCGCGTGGATCTCGGCTATGTCGATGTCGAAAGGCAGCAACTGGATCTCTTCCTCCCTCGTCAAATGTTCGTCTTCCGGTGCAAAGCCGAAGCTGTAGAAGCTGATACGGTCTTCGATGTCGGACTGATGTTCGTCGTAAGCCTCATCGACTGCTTCGTTTAGTTGACGATGTCGGCCTGGGGCGCGGCGCCGCCTTTTTTCCGCAGCACTGGTGTCTACTTTTCTCTTCCTGTTTGCAATTCCATTGCCTCTTGAATTGATTACTTCGCCATTCCGATCACTATCGATCCTGCTCTCTACGACGCGCACAGCACTCGAATAGCTCATGTGCATTCTTCGGTATCTTGCCAGTATCTGCAGTCTCAAAGCATGGTAGTAGTCTTCTTGCGCTTGGTATAGTTGATCCTTCTCAAGGTGTAGAGTTCGCAAGTCGTCGAAAGAGGTACCTTTGGGGTCATCAGGGAGTTCTTCCAGCAAACCGTCATCTCCACCGATGCCTGCGAACTGTCCATGGAGTGAAGGTGCTTCGTGTAGCGCGTCCTCATCTGGTTGGAAATGCTCACCGTGGCTTCTCAGGGATCCATCCCCTTGGTCTTTCCGATCATATCTTCCGTTCATTGCACCTGCGGGTTGACTATCTTGTTGCGGGGGCAGCTTGGATAGCTTTTGACGCTTGGTAGCGTCTTGGCTATGGGTTTTGGGTGGCTTTCCATTGGTGTCAACCCGTACCTCGCCGCTAAACCCTTTCGCCCTCGCTGCCTCGATCCCTTTTGCCATCAATGCACCCTCTTTCCTGATCACTTCGTCCCTCTGTCTATCTTCATTCGTTCTGTTCTTGGCCTCCTTCAATTTCCTGGCTGCCATACACTTTGCGAACCACAGATCCCTCGCATCAGGCTCCTCTCCCGTCTTCTTCATTGCCTGCATGTGAATACGTAAGCACTCGCGCGCCACAGGCAACAGCTTTCCTTTCATCTCTTCAGAAAAAATTGCGAGTGTTTTGACGAACTCCCAATCATGGTATGACTCAGGGCTAGGTGATTTGATTGGAGGCACGAAGAAGCTGCTAGGCGACGAGAGCTTCCAATTCCTGCATATTCGATCGCAATGAGAGGGGATTTCATGTAAGCGGTCAGCCCATTTAGACGTCATGACGGAGCAGAGCAAAGATAAGAACGGCGAGATGTTGCGTGGGTCGAGAAGAGCAGGGGCATTCGGTAACGCCTACCCTTAGTCGCCATCGTCTTGAGTGGGGTAGCAATATTCATTTTGAGAGCTGAAAGAGAAGCAATTAAGCGAACAAAGCCTGCTGTCTACTCAAAGGCTGATGGACAAAGACAACTGCAGTCTTTCTCGGTTCCTGGTTCATGTGAACATCGCACACGAAGGCGACCGACTCGCATGAAATGTTAGTGGTATCTTTGAATAACAGTCGTTGCTACTAAGATAAGTCGTTCTACTAAACTACAATAGACTACCCAGTACCAAAATCCCACGGTCTCGACATGACATCCAAGTTTCTCCTATAGTTCATACAGCCACCCATAAAGCCTCGCACATGACATGAGAGCCGTCAACCAGCTATATCGACCGCTCCTTTCGGCTTACAGACCTCCTTCTCGCATCACCATGTCCATTCACCCTGCCACTACTATTTCCTCACTCACCCGACCCTGTCTTCTCCGCGGTCACTGCAGCATCGGCCCAGTTCTTTTTCTTTAGTCGAGATTCTTCGACATCCGCCAAGAGCTGCGCAACCCTTGCTCTACCCTCTGCCAAGAGCTGGTTCTCTCTGGCAAGATGATATTCCTCCCTGTCGGCATAACGCTCTTCTTGGACCCTGAAGCGCTTTGCATGCAACTTGGATATCTCAACATCTGCCTGGTACTTCATTCGTCTCTCTTCCGGCGTCTTGGGCTCTATTCCATCGTATCCGAAGTTCAGGAAATCGATGCGGTCTCCGATGTCTTCGGCCTTTCGCTTACGCGTGGAGGTAGTGTGCGGAACCGGCTCTGCGTTGAACTTACGAGGCTCGTATGCGGTCGAACGGCGACGGTGATTTTGAGAGCGCGGTGCGGATCGGAAGATATCTCGGTTACGCATACTCATCTCAGGGCTTAGCGTACGGTCCACCATACTTCCAGTCATTCTAGTATCTGCCGGTTTCGCTTGGTCTGAGTCTTGGCTTTCGCGAGCACGCTTAGTGTTGCGGTCTTCGCGAGCAATGAGTGCGTCGGCAGGGCGCTTCGGGGCCGGACGTAGAGGCAGGTTTAGCATGGAGTGTAAGTTCTTCGGGATACCGCTGAACACGTCCAGGCGAGCGCCTTGTAGTTGACAAGTCTCGTCATCAATGATCGTCGGAGCTGCATACGGCGCGCGGTGATGAGAATGTGCAAGTGCGGTGTCCTCGCTATCGGCATCGGTGTTCATACTGTGAAATCTGGGCAGGTCTGAAGAGGTTGAACGCGGTCGGTGACTACGAATGGAAAGTATGCGCGTACCTAAGCGCTCCAGGGCTAGTTCCGAGCCAGTGCAGTTAAGTGTTCGCGATTTCGGTATGTTTAGAGTGAAAGCAAACTGATGAGCATGGTGCTTCATTACTAATGACAATGCATGAGCTTCTGGAACGTTGATCGAATCTGCCCGCTAACAAACGAAGCTCACCCTTCGCACTTGGAAATGAGAGAAAGGAAACATTACATGTGCTGTAGCGATCAAAATCGTCGCCGGCTATCCCTTGTCTCCCTCTCCCGACCTCTCTTTCCCCTACCTCTTCCTTCATCGTCTCTATTGTACCTAGTCCTTTCTTCGCCAGCGACACGCTTCCTAGTCTCGATCACCTTTATCTCATACATCTGCACTCTCGCCATGTATCGAGATAGCATTTTTCTCCTCACAGCTCCGTAGTATCCCTCTTGCGCACCAAGCAATTGCACTGCCTCATCCCGTAATTCAAGCTGCTCGTCGAAAGTGGCACCGGGTGGGTCGGCAACCAGATCGGGCGTCTCAATGGCGTATCCACTGAAGTGTTCAGTGGTTGCGCCGCGATAGGCTGGCTGCTCGACCGGACGACTTCGCTGCAGCGAAGGATGCGGTGGTGGGCTCGATCGCTTATTGACGCTTGGTGCACGTCTCTCACGATCGCGTGGTCGAGGTCGGCTCCTACTTCGCGGCCGGTAACGATTTGGTGATCTACCCGCTGGACTTCTTAGACGGCTACATAGCCTGTCATCTCGACTGTCACGTCTTGATATAGACCTCGTACCCCACTCATTCCCCTGCCTGCCATGCCTTCGCAACAAGTCATGGTAATCCTCCTCATACTCATGTTTGTATCTATTCCACCTCACTTCATCTCTTCTCAGTCCCGGTACAGTGACATTGTTGTATCTTTGCAAATCCTCCGGCTCCATGTTTTTGATGACATAATCTCGCGCCTCCTGGACATCCCTAGCCGTGACTTCACCTTCATGCTCATCGCGTGTAAGTACTTCACGCAATGCCTTACGTGCCGTATCGATTGAGGTTGTTTTGGCAAGCGAGAATAAGGCGAATATGAGCCACGGGTCTGAGAACCTGTACACTTCCTGATAAGGGAGTGGTGGTGTGAAGAAGTCGTGCGGGTGCCTCAGATCCCAGGTACTGAGTATGTATGTCTGCAGATCGTCCATTGGGGCGAAAAGACTGTTGGGCGCGTATGCACTTTGAAGCTCAGACATGTTGGCGGCGCTGAGACGGATTAGTCGTGCGTAGGAATTGGATCGATCGCTATGTACTCCTGCGACGGCTCTTTTGTGGTTGATACGGTCTCAGCGTTGCCAAAGCCTTTGCAAAATAGTGCGATATGAAAGAAAGTCGCGTTTTTGTGCTCGAACAAAGACACAGCACAATTTGATAGAGCCCCCCAAACAAAGGATTTTTCAATACAACCATGCTTCGCCAGCAAGAGAGAAAGCGCCTCAATCCATGTGGTATGCTACTACTAGACCATCTTAGAGCTTGCGTGTATATTGGACTATCCCTGCATACTTCTGCCCCTCTACCGCCCCATCCTCCTCTTCTTCCCTGCACCACTAAGCTTACAAGTCAAAACATCCCTCTCATACTTAAGCACCCTCTTCCTATAACTCGCCACAAGTTTCCGTCCCACAGATCTCTCATACGCCTCTCTAATTCTATAAAGCTCGATCTCACCTTCAATAAACTTCATCTCCTCATCTTTAGACACATCAGATGGCCATTCAGGAAATGGCGGCCACGTGATATCCTGAACGAAAACCTCGTCCATGGGAGTGCAACTTCGGTCTCTTCGGTGCGGCGGTTGGTGTGACTTCCGCTCATAATCGCCTTTATCAAACATTGATTGCAAAGGTCGTCGTGACGCGTGTGTCGGAGATGGACTGCGTGATGATTCATCCAGTGAAGGCCGTCTCGTATAATGACTCCGAGGATGATGCCTCGGAAGCGGCGACGGTAAGCTCGGAGGATACGGGCCCTGCGGTCGTGAGCTCCCCGGCAAGGACCCCAGTGAACTCTCGCTAGAAACCGACGACACTGTCGACGACGGACATCTTATTTTCCGCGGCCGCGTCTCGCTGCCATGCATCCTCCTCTGCCCTTCCATCTGCTGAGCAATGAGCTTCCTTGCCTCTTCCAGACCTCCCCAAGCACCTGGATCGTGTTTTGGCGGAGTGGGAGGAAGACCTCTCGAGGTCATCTTTTTCGAGCCACTCCCGCTCTTTCCCCCCTCTTTCTGCTGAGCTAACAGCTTCCTAACGTCTGCCAAACGCTCAGTCGCACTCTGGTTTGTTTTCGAGGGAGGGAGAAACGGGTAGCCCGCAGGGTAGGGTGGATTGCCTGACATTGCGCGTGCGATTTCTCCAGCAGTCCTTTCTTCAATCTTGGCCAGAGGATGGAAATCGGTTGTTTTGAGGAGCATGTAGATGAGGGTGAGGCTATGCGCTAGCGATGGTGTTTGATGGGTATGGAGACGGTTTGCGGTGTTGGAGGTAGTATTTGCGGGTGTGTTGGTGGTGAAAGAAGATGGCGTTGTGAGATGGTGGACAAAGACGACAATGGGGTGACAAAGGAAGTTGATGGGGCTGGAGGCGAGGTCATGGCTACGCTTGGTATGGTAGGGTGTTGTCGATAACCTGTCGTTCTTTCATGTCGCGCTTGATACTTGGATTCAATGCTAAGGGCTGTCGTCGATGAATGTGCGAGCCGGTAGTTGAAATTGTTGCTGCCGGGCCATGTCCATTCGACGTAGATCTTGGACCACGAGCTCCAATCGCCTGACCTGTTCCATGTGTTGCCGATAAAACAATCTTTCAGCTCTCTCCACCGCGCTGTTCAACCTCATCTGCTCGCGTCTAATCCTCCTGTAAAGTCTGTCGAGGTCGCAAACGGTCACACACAGCAACCGATTCTGCTTTCCTTGGTGTCTAAAGTATACAACGTCTCGCATCTGCTGTAGGATATAATCCTCCATCCGTGCATTCGTGAGCAGTACAAGGCGCTCGAGTCGGATTTGGAAGAGTCGAGACCATTTCTTCGCACGGTGCTCGCCGTGGGGATGGAGGTCGTAAGGTATAGCGTGACTTGCGTCGCAGAGCTTCCAGGTTTTGTTGATGTTACGAAGCGTGGTGGTGCCTGCTCCTGGGAGGGTTAGGCGTCCGGTATGGGGATGCGGCATTATGAGCTGAGATGGGGGTTGGAGAAATGTAGCGACGAGTTGAAGTCTTGCAATACATGGCAAACGGAATTCGCTTGCATTGCGTAGACATCTCATATAGGATTGTGCACCTACATGTGAAGGCTGGCAAACATGAGATACTTTGGGTCAACATCCTCCATACTTTGGTTCTGCAGCAATAGTGGATGGTACTGACATTATGGGCCTATAGCAAGGAGCGCCATCCCAATTTCCTTACACTTCCTCCACCACGACGAGCCAACCACACCTGCCGCATTCCATACGGCTCATACGCGGGGAGATACTCTACGAAAGCCAGAAGTACCGCATCTCCATAGACCTCGCGCAACACCGCTCCGGATTCCCCACACTTCCCTATCGCCGCGATGAATGGATCCCAAGCCCAGACTATCGCCTCAAAGATCCTGGAAGATTGGTCCATTGCGGAGCTTCGCTATGCATTTCCTGTCCATTTACGGCCGCAGACTGGTACCTTTATTGCCCCCACACTCGTGATTGCGCTATCTAATTTGTCAATTTACTCAAGAGGTCGTGTCGAGTGGGTAAAGACGTCGCTGCGCGACGCAGTAAGGGAGCGATGCACATGGTCCAGGGGTACAAACGAGGCTGCTGTGATGACTGCGGATGTGCGAACAGCAAAGGGTTGGATATTGGCCGATTTGAAAGAGCTTGAATGTGAGCGATCGCCTGGAATCGGTAACAACCCGGATGCTACTGGGGGCTCCCTGCCAACAATCATACCGCGGCCACTTGGAAGTGACTGGCAGCCACTCAGACCTCGAAGTCTAAGGAGCAAATCAGTACAAGGACCAGGAAGATCGCCAGCAAGGTCCTCGCGTTCGAGCAGCTTCCCACCTCTAGAAGACATCGGCGTTGATCTGGTCCAGCCGGTCGACAGCGAGCACTCTCCGTTGCGCGCGACAGGCGAGACCATGAAATCGAGTCCTCCATTATACATGAACAAAGACTCAGTCTTGCGTTGCTGAGGAGGAAGCAGCTGAAGACGGACATGCATCGACTGCTGGCCCAAGAGAACAACCAAAGGCGGCGGGTAGAAGAACACCGCATCAGAGCGACCCACCATGAGTGTATAGCCCTTGCACTGGGAATGCAAGTCGCAGAAACCCAGACTAAACTGGCGTACACAAACGCCTCACACCCATCCCCCCCTCAAATCGCCCCAATAATACTCCCCAGCCCCCCTATCCTCCTCGCCCACCGCGTCATCGTATCCACCGCATCCTTCCTAAGCTCCATCGTCGGCGCCGCAAAAGCCACAGCCATAACGGGGGCAATACTGCGCAAGAGGTCAAACCCCGGTGTTTGGGCCTGTTCAATTTCCGCCGCAGCCTCGATGATATCCGTCGTGGCTTTCGTAGCCACGTCGAAGTAATAGGGGGTAGGCATCTCGTATGGTTCTACGGGGGCTGTGGCTTCCGTGTGCATTTTGTACATGAGCATGCTTAGGACTAGGCGGTCGGCCATGTAGTTCGATGCGATTAGTGCTACGAAGGTATTAGGCGAACTCGTATTGGACGAAGATCCTTGCCTGGTATTGGGTTTGGGTAGTTTCGACGTACCCCTCTCAACCGGTGTCCCGCGCTCGCTCCTGGATACACTAGTCAGGTGCGGGTATGCTGCAGCCCAGTCATCCAGTTGCCGGATCAATTTGCACGCGAGTTCTTTGCAAGGTCGAACGTCGACGTGTGAGGGTATTGGCGTGGAGAAGAGGACGCGCATGGACCCGGGTATTTCGAGCATGGCGAAACAGTGGGGGACGATGAGTTCGATATCTGCGAGAGTTTGGTGTGCGTCGCGTGGTTTGCCGATGAAGGGGAGGGTCATCCAGTCTAGGGAGGCGTAGACGGATTTGCGGTTGAAGACTACGGATTTGTGCGCCTGGGGGTGTTAGTGGAGTGGCTAGGTATCGATAGTGGTGTCCTTGGTCTTACATCAGAGCTGCGGATTCCTTTGAAGAGCGGCCAGATGGCGCCTGACCCGCAGTTACTCGGACCGCGCATATTCATAATCTCAGCCGCAGCCGCGATATGAGACATCGCACCCGTCGCAGTCGCCCCTACATACAGCTCGTACAACGACATGATAAGCGGCACCAAAACCTCTTCCTCATCAGGGATAGCATCATTCTTCAGTCTCGCTATAGACGTCCTTTGCGCACTCAACGCCACGGTATACCATCTCCAGGAATCAATCAGAATACTTGGATCATGATGATGCTTCCCGAAAAAGGCCATGGACACTGCTCGGAGAGACAGCCTCACAGCTGGCTTTCGTGCGTTGCTGTGAATCTGGTTTATATGACCCAACCATTGGATTTCCGGTGCGTACTGACTTCCGCCTTTGTTGAGCTCAATGTAGTGGGAGAGAAACGCAGTATCTAGAGCTTCGGGCAGGATTCTTGAGGGCTGGTTTAGCATGGGGGGTCTGTACTGGTAGCGGATTGCTACGATGGCTTGCTCTATCTTTTCGTTGTCTCTGCTTTCGGACGGTAATGCTGGGTATGACGAAGAAGGAGGCTGGCCAGTTGGTGTTGATGTGCTTGCGGCTTCGTCTTGGGCAAGGATTGTACGTGGAATCGCTGATGGCTGGCTATTTTCCGTTGGATCCTTTCCGCGGACTGCCAGCGCAGCTCTCGTCGTCTCTTTCTTCTTCCGACCTCTGGGCTTGGCTACTCGCTCCGTCATGTCGATGACAATGGAGCCCTGAAGTGCTCCAGAGCAAGCCAGGCCGAGACGCCTGCATTGTTGGCATTCAACTGGAGTTTCATCGCACTACACCACAGATCAGTCTTCAACCCTTCAATTGCAGATACCGAACAAGATACCTTAACACGTCTAGACCGACACTGAGCACAAGCCCTACTGCGCTGCGATTTGGGAGGCATTCCGTTCCGTCTATATAGGCCAGGCTGTTTCTGCACGGGAAGTGAAAGAGGGAATTCGCGCGAGGTAAACGAGGGAGGGATACAGGGGTAACGGTAGTCTGGGAACTTCATGCGGCGCAGTCTCATTCGTTCATGCTGATTGGGTGGCAGCATAAGGTTTCGGAAGATACCTCTAGCAGAGTGGGGAAAGCGCGAGGTACCGCGTGAATTTCCGCAGTGAGTCTAGCATGTGCTGTAAGGGTCCAGCGTGCATTGGAGCGGGTAATCATGCCGACTGTCGTTATGAGTGTTGAATGTTCGAGTATTGTGTTTACTTCGTTGTGAAGGATGTGTAAATGGGCGTGTGAAGAGGCAACGTCGCAGTCTATGCTTTCTGTTGACATGGCCTTTATACACTAAAGACTGACTATAAGCAACTCGTGATAAAGGGTCGCTTATCGTTGTAGTCTGCAATTATAGGCATCGCATCAATGTCAAGAAATGGAGACCTAATACTGAAGACGCGACATAACTTCACTTAAATAACAACTGTACAAAGGGTATCATACACCACCAGCCCCATCCCCATCCCATCCACCACCTACTCCCTCCCCAACTCAACAATATCCCTCATCTCCAGCATCCAAACCCCCTCCTCCCTCTTCCCCTCCACACACCTCACCCCCGCCTCCACCGCCGCCCTCGCAATCATCCCCGCATCCTGCGCCCACCAATCCGTCATCTTCGGCGTCAGCCCCCTCAGCCCCTTCGCCAGACTCCTCAACGCCGCCTCCGCAGGCCTCGACTCACTCCTCTCCCCCACAATCAAGCCCGGGCGCACAATAACCGTGTGTTTGAACCCCAGCCCCTTGACCGCCTCCTCCAACTCCCCCTTCATCTTCGGATACGCAAAGTAGCCATTGGGATTCGCGCCGTTGGACGAGATGAGGACGTACGTGTCTACGCCGGCTTCTTTGGCCGTCTTGGCGAGATCCAGGTTTAGATCATAGTCGATTTTACGCTGCGCGTCGAAGCCGCCGACTTGGGCGCGGGTTGTGCCTAGGGCGCTGAAGAAGACGCGTGGGGAAGAGGACGAGGGGAATTGGGCGGGCCAGGTGGACGGGTCGGCAGAGGTGATGGGTTGCAGCTTTGTAGAGCCTGCTGGGTTGGGGAGGTCGCGGCGCGTGTAGGCGTGGATGGCGGAGAAGGAGGGGTGTGCGAGGAGCATGGTGAGGATGTTGGAGCCCTGCGCGTTGTGTTAGGAGTGCGTGATGGGGTTATCTGGGAGTTGTGAGGGACGTACGACGAGGCCGGTGCTGCCTGCGAGTACTGCTGCTGCCATTTTACTACTTCAGTTGTGGTCTATTTAGTATAGGACGAGCTTCTCAGCATGGAATGTGTGCGCGTGGTGTTGTCAGTCAAAAGTTTCGCCGCGTCTGTAGGCGCGGAAATTCGTCAGCGACCCTGATAAGCCAGGCCGACCGAGGTGCGTCATCCCGAAAGCTGTCTCTCGCAGCTCCATCCTGGAAACCGCAACTCACATGTGGAATCCGGTAATCGCATAGCAAGACGAAGACAAACAACCATTACAAAAGCCTCGTCTACTCCTTGTGAGGATAGCATCATGCATACACATTGCTTTTTCGTGTCACACCACAATCGTATCACCTGACTCAAGCCGTCGGCACCCGCCGACCCTGCCCCAACCGAACTCACACCACCCTCTCGCGACCGTCATTGCATCCAAAGTTTCGCACGAGCCCAGACCAATGACAGCGTCCGGGAACAAGCGACTGCTTTCCACGGTGCTCAGTCCTGTTGCCCGATACGGGTCGTGTTTTGCTGCTGACTGTTGGTTTTGGTGTGCCTGGCTTGTCCGACATGTCAGGCTAGCCGGTCGGGTTGCGGCGTAGGGCTGAGGAGGATGGAGGGCTCACGCCATGGTTTGGTGGTGCCATCGCGGGTTGGTGAGGGTGATGGGGATGTGGGTTTGGATTTGTAGGTTGGATAAATAGGATGGTGTCTTTGAGGAAAGGTAGCTATTCACAAACAACAACAACTACAACTATTACAACTACTACTGGTATCAACAGTCCACTTCATACATCTTTACACTCAGCAAGAGACATAAACACCAATCTTGTCAACACAATACTACGACAACACTACTTCCATCCCAACTCCATCTCAACCAACCCGATCCCTTCACACAACCACACAAACCCCAACACACAACCATGCCATCACCAACCCAAGCCCGCCTCCTCTGGCGCACTCTCTCCCGCAGCATGGTAGAACCCCACCCCTTCGCTCGCAACCCCATTACCATGACGCCTCATGCATGGCGAGCTGGTGATCTCTCAAGAAAACTGGTAAAAACGAGTGCTGTGTAAGTCCCTACATTTCTTCTCCGACTATCCTTCTCCTTAGGAACATGTCGCTAACAGTCATTTAGTTACTTCCCCTTCTACGCAGTTATCTTCGGCTGGCCAGTCGCGGCGTCGTGGTGGTTTAACGGGAATATGTGACTCGAAACTGCTAGGGGGGAGGGAGGGAGGGGTGAGACGGAGAATACGGAGAAGGTAGTAGGAAAGAAGAAGGGGTTGAGTAGTAAGGAAGTTGAAGCTTTGATCTTGAATATGCGGTGGGATGATTGATTAGAGTTTGCATTGGGATGGAGTCTGGGTCCTGGATACATGGCATTTACGTCTCTGGGAAGATACTTGAGAAAACTATTACTATTTTGTTCAAACGCACTTTTCCTACCCTTCACAACTCATCACCAATCACCTTACCGCAACACGGCAATACTACCATCGCCTCCTCACACCACCCACCCCCCTACAAATCCAGCACAACCCTCCCCACCCCCCTACTAACACAACTCAACATAGCCCCCGCCTCCATCTCCTCCTCCAACAACCCCGTGCCCCGATGTTCCACCCTCCCCCCACAAACATCCACCCTACACGTCCCGCAATTACCCACCTCGCACGAACTATCAATCTCCATACCCACAGCCCTCAGCGCATCAAGCAGCGACTCCGCAGCCCGCACCTCCACCGTCTTGCCGCTTTGTTTAAGCTCCGCGGTAAACGGATCGCCAGATGTAGCTACCGTAAACGCTTCAATGTGGACGGAGGACTCGGGTATACCGTAGGTTTTTGCGGTCGCGACAACGGCGTCCATGAGGCGTGGGGGGCCGCAGGTGTAGATGTGGGTTTGGAGATCGGCTTTTGAGAGGATGGCGGAGAGGTTCAGGCGTTGGCCGAGCGATTTGTTGTAGATTGTTGCTTTGGGGCCTAGTGCGGCGATTTGAGAAGCGAAGGGTATTTCTTCTGCGACGGCGTAGTGGAGATGGAAGTCTTGGTTCGTTCCTTGGAGGTAGGTGAAGGCTGTCATGAAGGCTGTTATGCCGATGCCGCCTGCGATGATGATGTGTCGGTCTGCGGTTTTGGCGAGGGGGAAGCTTGCTGTGATGCGGCCGACGGTGAGGATGTCCCCGACTTTGGTCTGTGAGTGGAGGTATTTGGAGCCGCCGCGACTGCTTGGGTCTAGGGCGACACCGAGCTCGAAACGTTTTGAGGTACCGCTAACGACGGAGTAGGCGCGTACCAACTTTCCTCCTAGCTTTAGTCGCACGTGGCTACCTGGCTCGACGGGCGGCGGCTCTGGGATGTCTTCAAAGGATTCGAAGATGAAGGCCGTAACACTGCTCGTCTCCCTTCGCTTCTCGACAAGGCGGTATTCATTCCAAGTATCCATCTTCTCGTCCTCGCCGCCAAACAGTCTGCTATTGTGGTCTTCAACAACACCTCTATCCAGACGTTTCTGGAATTTTCCTTTGATGTCCCATCCAAGCTGCGGCAGCTGCACAATCTGCTTCATCATTTCCACGTTGTTTGTTTCGATGAAAAGGTAGTACATGACTCTGGCTATCGTCCACTCTGGATGCGGTCGCTCGAGTAGGGAGATCATGTCGCCTGCAGTGATGGTGCCGGTCTTGATGATACGGTACATCCACCCCGTACGTAGCAGCGTCTGTGTGCGCTTGGCCATGTCTTTGACCTCGAAGCGATGGTTGAGCTTGTAGCAAGGTCCGCGTGGCTCGCTAACCTCGACAACGATGTCACCGATGGCCAGTCGATCTCCAATACAAAGGTTCATCTCGCTGACTTCGGTGTTGAATAGGTTCTCGCCAAACGCACCGGGCTTGAAACGGTGTTCTGAGGCGGGTAGCTCTTTCTTCCACTCATCGTAATGTGATGTGCAATAGTGGAGGAGCGCTTTGTCTGGGCCGCCGTGCAGATGAAATGCATGTTCATCTGTCGGAATACCAAGCTCGGTGATCTCGATTGGACCCGTCAGCGGTCCTTTGTAGATGGCAGACTCGATCTTGCCATTTCCAAGCGACTTCTTGATCTTGCCGGCGCGTAGTTGGATGAGCGGGAAGGGCTCGAAAGGCGCTGGGTTGACCAGTGTGTCGGGGTCTGGAGGCGGCGGCGGTATCCACGTCGAGACAGGCATACTTGGGATTGTATCTGGGTTGGTTGAGGACGTAGAAGCAGACCAGTTGGCGCAGCTGTGATCCTTCGATCTCTACAAATGTTTCTTTATGTAAGGCGTAAAGATTTGGTGCTCCGTGCGCCTGGTCGAGTCAAAGGGAATGGACAATGGTGTCGTCGGACACGGATCTACAGTGAAACAGAAGCTTCTTTTACTTTATACGATAGCTCCTCAGGTGTTGGAGCAGTCATCAGGCGTGCAACGATAGCTTGAGGAATCGCCAGGGATGGGTCTAGACTTGATGCAAGCTATACT